TTGCAATATCTATTTGCGAAATTACCATCGAAAAATATTTCCGAAATATCTTTCGCAAAATTCCCACGGAAGAATATTTTTTCATTATCTTCTTGTGAGACTACCGTTGAAAAATATTTCTGAAATATTTTGCAATATCTATTTGCGAAATTACCATCGAAAAATATTTCCGAAATATCTTTCGCAAAATTCCCACGGAAGAATATTTTTTCATTATCTACTTGTGAGACTACCGTTGAAAAATATTTCTTAAATATCTTGCAATATCTATTTGCGAAATTACCATCGAAAAATATTTCCGAAATATCTTTCGCAAAATTCCCACGGAAGAATATTTTTTCATTATCTACTTGTGAGACTTCTGTTGAAAAATATTTCTGAAATATTTTGCAATATCTATTTGCGAAATTACCATCGAAAAATATTTCCGAAATATCTTTCGCAAAATTCCCACGGAAGAATATTTTTTCATTATCTACTTGTGAGACTTCTGTTGAAAAATATTTCTGAAATATTTTGCAATATCTATTTGCGAAATTACCATCGAAAAATATTTCCGAAATATCTTTCGCAAAATTCCCACGGAAGAATATTTTTTCATTATCTACTTGTGAGACTTCTGTTGAAAAATATTTCTGAAATATTTTGCAATATCTATTTGCGAAATTACCATCGAAAAATATTTCCGAAATATCTTTCGCAAAATTCCCACGGAAGAATATTTTTTCATTATCTACTTGTGAGACTTCTGTTGAAAAATATTTCTGAAATATTTTGCAATATCTATTTGCGAAATTACCATCGAAAAATATTTCCGAAATATCTTTCGCAAAATTCCCACGGAAGAATATTTTTTCATTATCTACTTGTGAGACTTCTGTTGAAAAATATTTCTGAAATATTTTGCAATATCTATTTGCGAAATTACCATCGAAAAATATTTCCGAAATATCTTTCGCAAAATTCCCACGGAAGAATATTTTTTCATTATCTACTTGTGAGACTTCTGTTGAAAAATATTTCTGAAATATTTTGCAATATCTATTTGCGAAATTACCATCGAAAAATATTTCCGAAATATCTTTCGCAAAATTCCCACGGAAGAATATTTTTTCATTATCTACTTGTGAGACTTCTGTTGAAAAATATTTCTGAAATATTTTGCAATATCTATTTGCGAAATTACCATCGAAAAATATTTCCGAAATATCTTTCGCAAAATTCCCACGGAAGAATATTTTTTCATTATCTACTTGTGAGACTTCTGTTGAAAAATATTTCTGAAATATTTTGCAATATCTATTTGCGAAATTACCATCGAAAAATATTTCCGAAATATCTTTCGCAAAATTCCCACGGAAGAATATTTTTTCATTATCTACTTGTGAGACTTCTGTTGAAAAATATTTCTGAAATATTTTGCAATATCTATTTGCGAAATTACCATCGAAAAATATTTCCGAAATATCTTTCGCAAAATTCCCACGGAAGAATATTTTTTCATTATCTACTTGTGAGACTTCTGTTGAAAAATATTTCTGAAATATTTTGCAATATCTATTTGCGAAATTACCATCGAAAAATATTTCCGAAATATCTTTCGCAAAATTCCCACGGAAGAATATTTTTTCATTATCTACTTGTGAGACTTCTGTTGAAAAATATTTCTGAAATATTTTGCAATATCTATTTGCGAAATTACCATCGAAAAATATTTCCGAAATATCTTTCGCAAAATTCCCACGGAAGAATATTTTTTCATTATCTACTTGTGAGACTTCTGTTGAAAAATATTTCTGAAATATTTTGCAATATCTATTTGCGAAATTACCATCGAAAAATATTTCCGAAATATCTTTCGCAAAATTCCCACGGAAGAATATTTTTTCATTATCTACTTGTGAGACTTCTGTTGAAAAATATTTCTGAAATATTTTGCAATATCTATTTGCGAAATTACCATCGAAAAATATTTCCGAAATATCTTTCGCAAAATTCCCACGGAAGAATATTTTTTCATTATCTACTTGTGAGACTTCTGTTGAAAAATATTTCTGAAATATTTTGCAATATCTATTTGCGAAATTACCATCGAAAAATATTTCCGAAATATCTTTCGCAAAATTCCCACGGAAGAATATTTTTTCATTATCTACTTGTGAGACTTCTGTTGAAAAATATTTCTGAAATATTTTGCAATATCTATTTGCGAAATTACCATCGAAAAATATTTCCGAAATATCTTTCGCAAAATTCCCACGGAAGAATATTTTTTCATTATCTACTTGTGAGACTTCTGTTGAAAAATATTTCTGAAATATTTTGCAATATCTATTTGCGAAATTACCATCGAAAAATATTTCCGAAATATCTTTCGCAAAATTCCCACGGAAGAATATTTTTTCATTATCTACTTGTGAGACTTCTGTTGAAAAATATTTCTGAAATATTTTGCAATATCTATTTGCGAAATTACCATCGAAAAATATTTCCGAAATATCTTTCGCAAAATTCCCACGGAAGAATATTTTTTCATTATCTACTTGTGAGACTTCTGTTGAAAAATATTTCTGAAATATTTTGCAATATCTATTTGCGAAATTACCATCGAAAAATATTTCCGAAATATCTTTCGCAAAATTCCCACGGAAGAATATTTTTTCATTATCTACTTGTGAGACTTCTGTTGAAAAATATTTCTGAAATATTTTGCAATATCTATTTGCGAAATTACCATCGAAAAATATTTCCGAAATATCTTTCGCAAAATTCCCACGGAAGAATATTTTTTCATTATCTACTTGTGAGACTTCTGTTGAAAAATATTTCTGAAATATTTTGCAATATCTATTTGCGAAATTACCATCGAAAAATATTTCCGAAATATCTTTCGCAAAATTCCCACGGAAGAATATTTTTTCATTATCTACTTGTGAGACTTCTGTTGAAAAATATTTCTGAAATATTTTGCAATATCTATTTGCGAAATTACCATCGAAAAATATTTCCGAAATATCTTTCGCAAAATTCCCACGGAAGAATATTTTTTCATTATCTACTTGTGAGACTTCTGTTGAAAAATATTTCTGAAATATTTTGCAATATCTATTTGCGAAATTACCATCGAAAAATATTTCCGAAATATCTTTCGCAAAATTCCCACGGAAGAATATTTTTTCATTATCTACTTGTGAGACTTCTGTTGAAAAATATTTCTGAAATATTTTGCAATATCTATTTGCGAAATTACCATCGAAAAATATTTCCGAAATATCTTTCGCAAAATTCCCACGGAAGAATATTTTTTCATTATCTACTTGTGAGACTTCTGTTGAAAAATATTTCTGAAATATTTTGCAATATCTATTTGCGAAATTACCATCGAAAAATATTTCCGAAATATCTTTCGCAAAATTCCCACGGAAGAATATTTTTTCATTATCTACTTGTGAGACTTCTGTTGAAAAATATTTCTGAAATATTTTGCAATATCTATTTGCGAAATTACCATCGAAAAATATTTCCGAAATATCTTTCGCAAAATTCCCACGGAAGAATATTTTTTCATTATCTTCTTGTGAGACTACCGTTGAAAAATATTTCTTAAATATCTTGCAATATCTATTTGCGAAATTACCATCGAAAAATATTTCCGAAATATCTTTCGCAAAATTCCCACGGAAGAATATTTTTTCATTATCTACTTGTGAGACTTCTGTTGAAAAATATTTCTGAAATATTTTGCAATATCTATTTGCGAAATTACCATCGAAAAATATTTCCGAAATATCTTTCGCAAAATTCCCACGGAAGAATATTTTTTCATTATCTACTTGTGAGACTTCTGTTGAAAAATATTTCTTAAATATCTTGCAATATCTATTTGCGAAATTCCAAGGGAAAAAATTTTTTTAATTATCTTGCAAACTTTCCGCTGCAAAATGTTTCTGAAATACATATTTAACGATCATCAACTATTGAACGTGCCATTTACATTCAGAATTGTATCAATACGAAATGCACTCCGCGAAGTCGAAACGAAGTACCGCTAACGTACAGTAATTACTCGATTAATATTCAAGGAAGTAATATGTACGATGGTATTATTCGTAATAATGCTTGGAACAAGCTTGTCGAACCACGAAGAAGATTGATACATAGTGCGTATGCTTTCGATGACATGTAATAATGCGTGCAGCGACAAGCAGGCCTTGACTAATCCGAAACAGTTAGTCAATTAGGTCGACTATCAAACTAAAACGTCTGGCTGACCAACATGTAATCAATTAAAGGGGGCTAATCAACCGAAACGATTGAGTTACGAGTGCCAGGCCTATGTAACCAGTTAACCACCGCTTGGCGAACCGATTTAGTTGTTACGAATGAATCATTCCTATCGCTGTTTCCAAACAATCGATTCCTCCTTGTCATAATCAATTATTCCTTCGATAAAATATTCACGTCGAAACTGTTCGAACGAGTAACAATTAGCTTCGGTTCTATTTGATGTACCAATTAATATGTGATAATTCATTATCTTTTTACGAGATAATAGCTCTATTCGTTTGTTACAATACGTGTAAAATGCTTTATCATTGCCCATTTCGAAAATTAGATTTTATGCGTAAGGATTTATCGAAATTGTAGAGCATTGAATTCTTGCATTCGCCGATAAAACGGGATTTTCGAGGTGTTAACGCCATTCATTATAGTCGCTGTACGGGTATAAACGAAAGAAAAGTTTGGAGTAAATATCGCGTATTTTGGAATTTAGATGTTCTATATTTTGGAACCTTAGAACTTTGCAGAAACGTCGCCAAGTTTGGAACTTACACTTTTCATATTTTTCGACCTTATAATTTAGACTTTCTACATTTTAGAACCTTGTAATTTAGACTTTCTATATTTTGGAACCTTAGAATTTTGCAGAAACGTTGCGAAGTTAGAACTTAGGCTTTTCATATTTTTCAACCTTATAATTTAGACTTTCTATATTTTAGAAACTTATAATTTAGACTTTCTATATTTTAGAACCTTGTAATTTAGACTTTCTATATTTTAGAACCTTAGAATTTTGCATAAACATCGCCAAGTTTGGAACTTACACTTTTCATATTTTTCAACCTTATAATTTAGACTTTCTATATTTTAAAACCTTCTAATTTAGACTTTCTATATTTTGGAACCTTAGAATTTTGCAGAAACGTTGCGAAGTTTGGAACTTACACTTTTCATATTTTTCAACCTTATAATTTAGACTTTCTATATTTTGGAACCTTAGAATTTTGCAGAAACGTTGCGAAGTTTGGAACTTACACTTTTTATTATAATTTAGACTTTCTACATTTTAGAACCTTCTAATTTAGACTTTCTATATTTTGGAATCTTAGAATTTTGCAGAAACGTTGCGAAGTTTAGAACTTAGGCTTTTCATATTTTTCAACTTTATAATTCAGACTTTCTATATTTTAGAACCTTAGAATTTTGCAAAAACATCGCCAAGTTTGGAACTTACACATTTTATATTTTTAGAACCTTAGAATTTGTTAGGAAAATGTTAGGAAATTTAAAACTTACACTGTTCATATTATTATGCACTTGGAACCTTAGATGTTTGCGAAAATTTCTGTTAAATCCTCTATTAGCGATAGAGGATTGGTTTAAACGTAGAGATCATGTTTCTTAATGACAAATTCATCAACATAGTTATCTTTAAGAAAAATTTATTGGTTTATATAATATATTAAAAATTCGTACTTTTTGTTCATTTTTCATGCACGATGCTAATTCAATGTCATGTAAATCTGTGTACAGGTGCTTTTGGTTGAAGCACAAAATAAGGATAAATTGGAATTTCGATTTTTTCTATTATAACGAAAAATTATTACATTCGTAACTTACGTGCATACTGTGCAAAATGCAGCATTGGATTACTTACGCTAGTGAATGTTATACATTTTTCTAACTTTTCAAGCAATTACCTTACGTTAAGTAATGATACTTAATCCACGACCAACACTCGTCACGACCTAACAAAAGGTTTAGTGGTCTTTAAAAATAAATTACAATTCTAGTGGCTATTCTGTAGAGAAAGTCACTGTGATCTAGATTGACAAATCTTTCCATTGGTTTAATTTGGTCTACAGACGTGCCTATATTGTGCTTCACTTAGGACACTTTTCTCTTTGATTATAAAACATTTCATAGAAATCGATGTACAAGGACTCGACAACCTCTCTTATTCTTCTAATTATTTCACAGTGGAATGCCTGAAAGAAATATCAAGGAAAGCTCGTTCATTGCTACACAAAAGCTAACTAACCAAACCCAAGAAACTTTTCGAAAGATCACATGAATGTATTATATATATGAACCGTTTATTTTGATAGTGGTGTAAGTCTATTTAAAAAAAAATCGAGATTATGCATGAATTGCGCGTAAAACATGTTAAATCTTACCATGAAATATCATAGACCGAAACATTTTAAAAACATAAAATTATCACCTCTATACAAAACTTCTGTACCCATAAGCTCAGCTAAATATAAAGATACGTATGATTTATTGCCTTATATTCCACCTGTGCACCACAATTATTTCAAAAACCTTTCTCACGGTGTCAATGAAGATGTTTTAAATTACTAAATTAAAAACCATGAATATTTTCTTTTTATTTTTAATGTATAACGTTGTTTAAAGTTATATGCAATTTTGCTTGGCACAACATGAATAAAAGATTTAAATTCTTGAAAATATAATATAGTTTTTCGGAAAAACCGTGAATTCTAAGCAATTAAATATGATTTAAGTTACTGAAAATTTGATAATTTTGATAGTGGTGTAGGTCCATTTGTGGTCACAAAGTCCCAATTTTTCTTCAAGCAAATCCGATATATTTTACATACCTCAAAAGTTTCGACATTTGTCACCACAAAAAACATAAAGCGAGACTACCAGTGATTTTCAGTCGATTAAAACGCGAACCCTTAAATATCTCGATATTTCGGAAAATGTACTTAGACCGCTATCAAAATATACGGCTAATATGTATGATCGAGCGTTTCCAGGAAGCTGAAAGATCAGAGAAAGCAATTTGGAGCAGATACTTTTATTCATCCATCTTAGATCTTATTTTCGTTTCTCCACAGGCTACCCAAAGATGGGGGACGTTTCGAGCGATCAGAGGATCAAGCATACGAGCACGCGTACCTAAGCAGAGAGAACTGCGAGCAGCTCTATCCGAGCTGCCGGCACTCCATTTACCAACTCGAATTCTGAGGTGGAGACGAGCAGCCCCAGGAATTGAACGCATTCGTATGCGTGTGCAAACGTTGACCGCGTTTCAGCGAGCGGACGTGCCGTTGCCGAAATTTTTCCTGGCCACTCGCCCGTGCCCCGGCGATTTTTCAACCCTGAACCCAAGCCGCCATAACCTTCCGCCCTCCCCTAGAGCGAAATACTCCGCCCGATTGCGTTGCCAACTTGCGTGGATCTTCCGACTGACCCTCCCAATGTCTGCACAACTACGACCATAGGGACGACTGTCTTTTGAGACATGTAAATCTCTTTCGAGGGTTGCTGGAACTGTTTTGCGTTCAAGGCTGTTCCAACGTTGTCTAGATTTTATTTCTTGAATAAGTGACTGTTGAGTAATTGGGAATTGTAAGTGACAGGGGAACATTGGGGTAAGTCCACATTGAAGGGATGAGAATTATCTTGAAAGACGAGGGTAACGAACATATTTGGTGAAAATTATTTACTATTTTTTATTTTTCAAAATACAAAATTCGTCAATTTACGCTATTTCTATATTTCTAGTATTTCTGGAGATGTTAGATTAAATATATATACCACTGTCAACTTTGTGGACGATAACACTTTCTCTACGAATGTAACGAGTGTCGTGATACTTATGAACAGCAGTGTACATGTGTACGTTTAGTTCTTCTCAAAATTTCAATATTTGCGACAGAATAAGTATGAAAGTATAGTGACTAATTCGTTAAGTATTTTCCTAACGAGGAACAGAGAAATACCGTCACATAATGACACGTAACATTCTACATCACTGGAGGTGCCTTAGTAAACAATATTTTGACGTTGTTTTTAAGAAGCTAATCGTCCCTGAAGCGTATAGGGACAAATTTAAGGAACCTACATTTTCGGCCAAAAGTTTACCAATCTGTTATCAATTTGCTCCAGGTACACTACCGGCCAAAAGTTTGGAATCACTGAGCATTGCAATTTACACAAAAATTTCCAGAAAAAAGACAGCGACTTTGAGAAGTTTTTATCGTTCGAATCAATTGATAAATGTAGAATTGAGATAAACTTCAAATCTATAAAAAATTAGCAGCAGATTTAATATTGATGAAAAGTGGGAGGAGATTTCAAACTTTTGGCCGGTAGTGTATATTAAATTAACAGAAATATCCTTTAACCCTTTGAACTCCAAATTCTTTTTTACTTTTCTTTTCAATAACTCCCTATTATTTTAAGAATTTCATTTGAAATCCACTTCAAAAGACATTTGCTCGATAGGAACCAATTTAGACAATCTTTTTTACTAATTATATTGAAAATAGCATATTGCTCATCGAGGTAGAAAAGATATTGCAAAATATAATACATATTTAAGCTGGCAATTTAAAAATTACTTCATTCGTACCTGTGAATAACACTGATGTCGAGTCACACTCGACAAAGGAGTCCAAAGGGTTAAGAGTTCATTAAAGTTTCTATCATCTTCCTGCAAAATTCTTCACCTATTTAGCTTGCAATGCATAATGCTACACTTCCGTTCACAAGTATTAAGACACTTATTGAATGTGAAGTAACGCAACGGGTGTCCTAATAGTTACGAACAGCACAGTGTAAATAGATGACTTTGTAGGAAAAGGAGAGGAAGGATTTTTCGATTCTACTTTCAGTACAAGACACTTCTCGTGTACTAAATATTTGTGATATCAATTACCCAAGCAATTTCCAGATGAAAAAAAGAATCTCCAGACACGATTTATTCTCGCGACTTTGCTGTTGGAAACAAATTTGCCCTGCACTCGGTCACGAAAGGGTACTTCTCCTTTTTACAGTGAAACCTCCTCTGCCTTCACCAGTCGCGAATCGAATCGAATCGCAAATTCTTTCTCCTCCCCCTCTGTGTACACGACATTTCGATTCGCCTGTAGATTTCGAAGACTTCACGGCCGCGGTGTATATTTCATCCAGTGCGTCCGTGCCGCGGCGGCGTCGGCGTCGGCGTCGCGTAATTCATTTTGCATTAACAAAATGGTCAACCGAGTGACCGGCCGGATTTATAGTTCATTTCGGCGGAGTGCTGTCGACGAGCACGCGGCTCGAGCCTTTTGTAAACCGAGTGAACCCGAAAACCGTGAAAAAAATAGGGGAGAAAAGGTACAGAGGGGGAGTGATAAAAAAAAAAGAAGAAAATAGGGTGGAGAAAAGAGTCACCAGCGTTATTTAAATGTTCAATATTTAATCAGCCGGGGTATTACGCTAAATACATTCGCTGCGTTCTGTATTTCTTTTCCTTTCCTTCGACGAAAGTACTTTCTCCCCCGTGTATACTTTTCTCCTTTTCAATTTGTATTATGCGGAATTATTCCCGGGTTGAAGGATTATGGATTAAAATTAAGAACGAGCTGCAACAATGTGCGGTGCATTTAGATGGTAATAAAGTGTCGAAAGGAGGATGGGGAGATATTAATTGCACTCGTGGCAGTTTGTTAACGCGTTAACCTTTTAGATGCATAATTCGGATTATTTGCACGTTGCGAGTGAGTGTGTGTGTTCGCGCGTGTTCATTAGTAGGAAATTTGGTGTATCGGTTTGCTTTTGGTATTAATTGAACGTTGTAATATCGCGCAAAGAGTTGTATGATTTTGGTATAACGGTGATAATACAGGGCAGCTGAATCAGTGAGTATCGAGTGGATGCGAGATATATTCGTAAAGGGAGGTTGCAAGATAGATTTGAGGTGAAATCTCGCTTCGCATCGGTGTCCGTTTTTAATTCAGTGGGAGGAATATTTCATTTCGAAAATTGTATTCATAGAACGAAGAAGGCGAATTGGTGAATCTTTGACGATATAAAGATGCCCCCATTAGCGATATTAAGTTTCGTCTAGCGACACGGGGATGAATGAAAACAATCTCGGATCACGTGTGGTCCGAAATAAAATTCGAACCTGGAATACAAATTCTATCCACCCTTCCAGTTCAAAAGATTCCTCATATCCTACCGTACAAAGCACTCAGGAAAATTAAATTTAAAACAGATCAAAAGAAAAGGTTTATTATAACCTGACAGTGATCCTTAATTCTTTTTTATTACTGAAGATCGTTATTGTCGCTACACTCGTAGTGTTCGTTCTTTCATGTACCTACTGTATGATGAAAAATTTGATTTTTGCAGATCTTTGCTGGATCGTGATATTCGTTAGGTTTATTACTCTAAGTGAGAATAATTCGACGGAGAAAGGGTTGAAAATGAATACCCATGTCGGCGGATAACAGGAAATAGCAAACGTTCAATGTAGAAACGGAGGTAGAGGCACGAAGATTTATCGTGGTCGCGAAAAATCCGCAATTTCGTGCTGTTCCAATTATATTTTCAGGCGTCGCGTTCAGCGTGAAATTTCGCGAGGCCACGGACTTGAATGAGGGGGGCCTCCGATCCCCATCGTTCTAATTACTTGGCGAGCGATGATCCACGCGATCTTTCCTCCCTTTCTATTAATCCTGGATCCGGTGGATCGTATCGCGTAATTCATTCGGCTCAAAAAAAAATATGCGCCCGCCACACACGAAAATCCATATGCGTTATTTATTCACGGCTAGCTAGCTTTTGTGCACCTTTGCCGATTAATGTTTAACAGAGACGCTCGTCTTTTTATAATTCTTTACTTGTTCTTGACCGATGTTAAGAGATACAGACGACTTGGTATAGAGGAAAATCTAGTGTGAATTTGTTTGGAATGGAGAAAATCGTTGGTTTTGTTTAAGGGGTCTTCCTACTGTGACGGCTGAAAGACGCTTGATTTTTCGGAAATTTAAAACGAAGCAAGTGCTACACGTGTCCTTTTGCAAATTTCTGTGTTTATTCTATCATCGTTTGAGAAGACAAAAATATTTTTTATGAGGGAAAATATCCATTTGTTGTTAAATAGGACCACCGTGAAGAGAGAGCCTTGAAAAGTGTCCTTCCCGATGGCTGACATGATATCAGACGTTGTACCTATTCAAAATACAAAATGCGAACGTATTTTTAATCTGTGGACGTGTGACTATCGTCTGAACTAGAAAAATAGAAAGAAATGGCAAGGTTTCAAAGAAATTGTTTTCGATTTTAGCAAAAAGAATGATGGTTTTTTCGACCGCAAAGACTGAATTTTGAAAATATTTGCACAATTCTAGTTTAGACGATATACCTGAATATACCTGACAAATTTGGAGTGAATCGGACTTTTGGTTTTTCGGTAATCATGTCAGCCATTTTCGAAAATGCTGATTCGAGAAAAACGCGTTTAAAGTTTGAACTACAGTTTAAGACTGTATAAAACCGCTTCCTTTGAAGGCATATATCTCTGCCAATTTTGGGAATTAAGCTTTAAAACTTCGTGGACATATTTTCGAGATGTTGAACTATAAGAAAATGCCAAAAAATTTGATTGAACCCGTCACAGTAGGAAGATCCCTTAAGGGGTTAGATCACACTTGAGGTCTGAAAGTGACACCTAACTTTGGCATTTTTTAAAAAGAAAATAACGAATCCAATTGAAAACTTTTCGGAATGGCTTTATTGTACTACTTTTAGAGAATTCGAAGGTATTTTTTCATTTAATTTCTTTACAAAATGACGGCGCTACAGCCGCATCGCCGATCTTCTATTTCGGACAGATGCCCCCACGATGTTGTCCTCTGCTGCCACATTGTTTGCCTCAGAACAGAATATCAAAAATTTTCATCATCTGCATGCTAATTACTACAGAAGTACGTAGGATTTTTGAAAAATATTGAGTTTTATTAAAATGGTGAACATATGAAGAAAGAATCTCAGCGGTGGTCTAAGGTACGCTTAGTGTCCCGTCAGAATGAGAATAAAAAAAAATTATAATACGTTCTTTGCTATTATTTAATTACTTCTTTCACTTCTCAACAATTTCGTAGGTTCTCCTTGTTTAATATCCTTTCCCGATCATTAAGTAAATCATTTTTCAAGAAAGTTAGGAACTAAATATCCTTCTAGCAAGGCTTCCAAGCAACCTCTCGAGTGAACTTCCAGTTATCCCCTATTTCTCAAAAACTTCCAACGATCCTCCACTTTTTTCTAAGACCAAACCTGCAAACGATATGTCTGATAGAAATTAATCTTTCGCCAAGACTTTCTCTTCTTGACAGAGTAATTTATCTACAACAGATCGAATAAACGCAGCTCCTCCAATCAACTTTTCCTATATTTGTCCCACAGTCATATAAATTGTACTGTACTGGAATGTGGTTCTTCAGCTACACTTGTCCTTTATAAGCGTGGAAAATGCTCATAATATGCCATACTACATCTTGTATAATCATACTCATTATAGAGCCAGGCCAAAAGTATTAGGCGCTTCATAAAATATGAATTATTTGGAAGTGACGTGGTGTAAAATAATTACTCGCCAAAGTTGCTTAACAAAAATATATTTATTTGAATCCGATAACGCTTAACCTAATTTTGAAGTGTAGGCGACGCGATGAACGTAGAAAGAAAGTCTACGACAAAAAGCCTCGTGCCTTTTTCGGGGCTCCCTTAAGTAGCCCCTTTTCCCTGGGAAAGTCCCAGGAAGTGGGGGCGTGGGCCTGCATTGCCGAGGGAATACTCTTGTCCTCGAGGACGAAGAATCTCGGAGATGTTTGGAAAAACATCTCTCGATTCTTCGCCTCGAGGGCCAAGAGACGCCAGGCCTAAGTGCGTGGCCCCCCTGTGGCGGTCGCCACAATTATTTAAAAATATGTTTGTATTAGGAGAAAATCGAACCATTGAAATGTAGAAACCATCATTTTTTATTAATTTTGTCAATATTTTATTATTGACAATCGCATCAATTTCTTTCTGACTTTTACCCTGTAAAAAAAAAGAAGAATTAACTTGCGTGGATGGTGCTCACACAGTTCACTCTTCTTTGGCATGTTCCAAGGAAAACTTTTGAACTTTCAAAATATTAACAGCAAAACTAAAAACAAACTGACGTGCGTTACCAGGAGAGTACTAACAGCAGACTGTAACTTTTAGAAAGAAACAACATAAAATGTAGACTATGGATCGCTCGGTTGTTTTATGGTCAACTATAAACCTCGTCGATTGTTTTAAAATTCCTTTGAACTGGCCGACAATGGACGGCGAACAATAGAAAGTTTTCAAAGAAAAATTTTTCTCAGTAAGTTGCAATAGTAAAGGTGCTTAAGGCGCTTTTAGCCAGGCTTGAATGTAAAAACAATAACAAGATTGACTTCGAAGGTCTCACTGGTGTTAGTAGAATGCTCGACTGTCCACAAAATTGAAGTTCCTTAACCCCTTAACGTTCATATTTTTCTCAACTTGATGTGCCAAAACCGATAAGCTTTATTTTTTTTCATTATTTCCTAGGTGTATAGAAATAAGTCTCCCTATTTATTTACAATGCCGTAACTTACGTTTTTGCTATGAAATAAAAAGAATAATGTAGCTTCCCTTGGACTGCAATTCTTTCGAAGAATTTCGCGAGGTCGTAAATCCCTCTTACACTCTAGGTGACGGTACAGGTTTGCTGCCCAATTGAGAAATTGATCTCTTTTGGTGGTTCCAATTAAGATGAGAGAATTTAGAGAATTTTATTATCCCGACTGAATTTACAACTGTTGATGAGAATGTTGATGAGTATTGTACTGTGTTTGGCTGGGCTGGGTGCCACTGCGAGAGCGAGACTCCAAGCGCTGGTCAGAGAATGAACCGTGGAGTCGTCGCCCTGACGGAAAAGAGCATCGGTTATGGAAAGGAGAGGTTCGCGAGGTTTTCGTTTCGTCGATGCGTTCGCTCGAGGAGGTTTATTGCGGGCCGATGTGAGTTTGGTACCCCGGTCTGGCGGTCGAATTTGACTAATGAATTTTACGACGATAATCCGCCAGGCCGGGGTTTCCTCACGTGCATGGCGACGCAACAAATATCGTAATATGAAAAGTGAAGAAAAAAGAAATGAAACAAAATTGCACTTTCTGGAGGATTATGAGCGTTAACCCTTTGGACTCCTCTGTCGAGTGTGACTCGATATCAGTTTTATTCACAGGTATGAATGAAGTAATTTTTAAATTGCCAGTTTAAATATGTATTATATTTTGCAATACTTTTTTTACCTAAATGAGTGTTAGGGATTGGGTTTATGACATGGACGCCTATTTACGTTATTTTTGAATGCGCCCCTTTCAAATTGGCGACGAAGCGCAGGAAGCGTTTTACGACTGTAGAGAAATAAAGTTTCTGCGGGCCACATGCCTTCCTGGTGCTCACTCATGGACAATGAGCACATACATATGACCCTTAATGCTATTTTCAATATAATTAGTAAAAAAAAAATTGTTTAAATCGGTTCCTATCAGCCGAATGTCTTTTGAAGTGCATTTCATGCAAAATTCTTAAAATTGAAAAAAAAATTTGAAGTTCAAAGGGTTAAGGGGTAAATGGTTTAAGGTTGAGCATGGTTAAAACAGAACACGATCGGTCTGGTATAGTTTAACAGGTAATTTAAGGCGACTTAACGATTCCGCCTTAAACTGTCCCGCTAAACAGCCCGAGAAATGTTCTAACCACCATTGCCAGTCTCATTATATCATCCGGTATTTCGAGTCACTTAACGTCTACGCTAGAACGAAGTGGTTCGATCGAATTCTTTCTGGTCACCTGGTTGACCGAAGCAATTTCTCAGTAGTATTGTACAAACCATCGTCTCTACAATGAGTCTGTTCTTTTTATTCCTGTGGATACAATTCTCTTATCTGCATAGAGCAAGTTCGTGTGAATCGAGGAACAATAGCGTCGAAAGATCTAAAAGGGAATTCGACGCGAAATACCTGGTGTTCCCGGAAGGAAGCAACGTTCAAGTGAGTCTATTTCCTCGATGGAACTTGTCGACCGTCCTGGAACACTGTATTTCCCTTAATCACCTAGCGGAAAACTTGCTTATATCGTTCAACAAACAGAGCACGTCTGTCCTCGCCACATCTTAAGTGGATAAGTTCGTAGAACTTTGCCACGTAAACGTTGACCTGATAATTTCTAATAAGGGGGCTACGTTTTGGCCGCGCGCGGAGTCATCCGCTATGTTAACGGCGATCCCATGGAAAATTCACGCGCTAAAAGGAGCTAAAAGCAGTGAACGTCGGTAATTGGGTGAAATGAATCGTTAACGCTCGGTAAAGAAAACTCGAATGTGCTGTTCAAATAATACCGCGATACTTAAACATTTTCACTGACGCGATAGTTATGAATTTTTTAATTATTTTGCGTGATAGGAGTTCCTTATTTGATATTTACATTTACATCAGCTAACACGTGATACGATGCATGCACGCACTTCTACGAACGCGTAATTTCACGTTGTGCCTTTTATATCACTTTAAGCGCCGGGCCCGCCTAAATGCGTTTTCACATGTTTGTGCAGAAGGAAATATTATATCTCTGGAACAGCAACTGGCTCGATATTTGTATCGTTAAAAATCGTCGCTGTGCCTGTAATAAGCACTGTGTCAAATTTTTCAATAGAAATTTTCCATTTTACAAGAGTTATTTTATTTGATTTTGTAATAGTGCATATTTCTACAAAACTCGTAATATTGAAGCGCTTTAAGTAACAAAATAGCCGGCTCTTTAAGTGATATTGTGTATTAACCCTCGGACAGCGGATGGTGCGACAGTCACACGCACGTCGAATAGCGGGTCAAATGTGACCCAATACTAAAATCGTTCTCGTGCGCAAGTGAAACTAAATTTTTTTTTATTTTACTAGGCATTGTTTTGTTTAAAATTATACAAACACACTATGATCAATGTAACAAACATATTTATAATACCTCTGTTTCGAATGCCGGTGGAAAACAAGAGGCATCCGAAAGCCGGGTCAACGGTGACCCGGTATCCGCCGTCCGAAATTTACATAGTGATCTATTGTGAGAAACAGCGTACATATATACAGGGTGGAAAACTTTGTCCACGTGGAATATTGGGTTGTTCGGAAAGTTCGTAGCGAAATTTAAACCGCCGTATCTCTGTTCCTAATTGACACAGCGATAAAAGTTGAACGATATTTTTCTACACAATCGAAGGTGAATCCAACGCACTACTCAAATTATTCGTAAGATGAACAGGGGCGGATATAAATCGAACTATGTTTTCTACAGTGTAGCGTGTATGTTGAATTTTTCATGGTAACGCTCCACCGCAGAAAATATTCAGCTTGTTTTTGTTAAAAACCCTGCGATACGAATAGGCGAAACGGGGTCAACGAACCTTGGCCGCAGCCTTCCGACGTTCGTTGTTATTAAACAAGAGCGAGTGTGTTTGTGCGAATGCGAGGGATGCGTGTTGCTAAGAGAGTGAGTGAGAGTGAGAAAGAGCGAGCGCGGATCGCGAAGACCTTATAAATAGGGAAAACAATAGCGAGGGTCGTTCATTCTTCCTGCGAAGCGATAAAGCGTTATCAGTGTTGTTTATCCTAATTATATTTTACCAATTTCTAATTGCGTTTTGCATTCCGTTTCCTACAATATACTTCGTTTTGGGAGTAATTTTAGGGGTACAACGGATTTATCTTCAAATCACGAGTAAAATACCTTTTGGTTTTTGTCGCATATCTCGATTAGAAACAGAGATATATCAGTTTGAATTCTTCCGACATTTCGCTACGAACTTTCCGAACCACCCGGTATGTACTTCCCTGTTCACCTTATGAATAATTTGAGGAGTGCGTTGTGTTCGTCTTCAAATAACGAGTCAAATACTTTGTCGCTATCTTAGTTGGAAACAGAGATACGATGATTTGAATTTTTCCTGAATGTCGCTATGAACTTTCCGAACCACCCCCAATAATATAGAAAAATGTTGTATACAAAATTTGGGAGGCACAGCGTGATGCAAATACTTTTTGCGTGAGTGGAAGGCGTACAGGAACTTTCAAGTCATTTCTATTTTTTTTAAATAGAATGCTATATATATATTTTTATCACTTACATGATATTCCAGATAGACAAAGTTTTTGCACCACCCTGTACGTTTGAATTGGTTTTATCCGAAAATCCACCGTATCTAGTCAATGCGTCAACATTCCTGTCATCTCGCTTCCATAAAACATCGAATTCACAGAGACATTTTAACAACTTGCCTCTTCGAATCTCCAAATGGCCATTATAATATCACCCCTATCACTCTGAAACTTCATCGATACTTCACTATCCACATTTCACGCCTTAAGTAACTCGGAAGATTTCGCGCGAGGTTGTTGCTCTTATAATCCGAGGAATGTTCGTTCCCTGAGACACGTAAAGAACCCATTAAATCAGCCGTACATTCCGTTCAATCGTGCGTAGTTAGTATACTGCATGACCATCAGCACGTACGCGAAGCCTTCTGGAATGTTTACCATTGGTTTGACGGCTGGGCAAGCATGGGAGCTACCCTCGAGGAGCACGCTGTCTGACAAGTTCGAGGATTATCATCGTCGAAGCAGGAGGCAGCTGTATCGTAAAGTGGAGCTGCTCCTTGCCAGGTGAGTATCGAAGAAGAAAGAAAGAAAAAAGGAAAAGGAACGAAATAGTAGGAGGTAAAACCCTCTTCGTTCATTTTTCTCGTCTATCTGTCCGTTTCCACTTTCCTTCATCCGTTTCTCGGTACGATGAGGAATTCCAGGCGTGTTTCCCGGCCGTTTCGCCGCTTCTCGCGATGTTGCTTCCTGATTTCTCCGCCTTGGAGAGATCAAAGAAGGTTTCGACAGAAAGTTTCATACGTTTTTCTGCAACAGAGACACTCTCCCGGCTGATTCGCGGAAACGTGCAAACGTGCAAAGCGTGAGCTTGTGAATTCTTTATCGGATTGCTCGAGATGATTTTTGGGAGATTTCAAAGTTGAGGATATTTTCTTTTTTGTTTCGAACGCGTTGGAAAGAGCGAGAAGTGAATTTCCTTGGTGTTTCGAATTTCACAGTGAAAATTCTTTTATCGTAACAATCTCTAATTTGAATCACAATAGAAATTTCGCAACAGCTCTTGGTGAAACGAAGTTTCTGCGATCATCAAAGTGAGAGAGAGAGAGCTCTCGCAAATGCAAGATTTCCATGCATTTACAATTAATTCGATCACTCCATTACCTCGAATCGGTTTTCTTGTACCGTGCGCCTCGACTGTCCATCAACAACAAAGCCCGCTAATCGAATGAAAGCGCTCACGAGTCTTTCCTTCCGCTTTCTATCGCGAAAACTGCTCGAGGGGCAGGCAATTTCCACGTAAGCCGTTTATTGTCTCACCTCCACGAAATAAATACCCCTCGTCTCTGCCCGCTATTCCAAGGGCCCGGCGTCATTGTTCAGAAGGGTCTCTTCATTTTCGACCAGCTTGAAGGACCGTTTCAGATGTAAAACAGGCATTTTTTCCGTCGATAGTGCGGCCATCCACTTCAACCGGATTACTCGTTGGATAATCGTGGAAAACGACAACCGGAAGGTTAAGTAGTCGGCTCTCGAACCTTTCCCGGCCACTTCAGCTTGCACAAACGTTGACCTGCATGGGCGAGAATGGCGGAAGGCGATCGCGAAACGCCGCCGATAGAACTTTCGCCGCCTTTCACCCTGCTTCAAAGCTCTCTATTGCGTTTTTCCCCCCTGCTTCGTTCTCCGCTTTGCGGCTCTTTAGCCGTGTCCAGAAGAAACTGCCGGACGAAACAAAGCCTCTTGGCTGAGCTTTCGACGTTTCTGACTCTCCCCCCCTCACTCTCTATCTCTGTCAGGGTTGAGATTTAGGGGCAAAAGGGAAACGAAAATGGAGATACAGAGAGGGAGAGAGAGAGAGTAGGGACGGTGAAAGGGCCGAGCAGCTTGCCGCGGATTCACCGTGATTGTGCGGTTCTGAATCGCGTTAACGATAAAGCGGCTCCTTTCGAGGCACGCCTCGTGATTTTAGGTGGTCGAACGAACGTATAGGGCATAGAGAACGTGGATCGCTTTGTTTCACTCGGAATAATGCTTCCTTGGGCGCGTGATTACGCGCGAAACGTTGAAACGTGGCTAGAGTGCCTCGAGTCGATTGGTATTTCGAGTTCTATCGTGGTATGTAAATATATTTTTCTTCATTTTTTCTCTCTTACATCGAACACATCGGTCAGTATATTTCGCGTCTTTGTTTTTGTTAGAAGAATCGATTTTACTTGGAATTAAATGTAACGTTTTCGCAAAGTAGGCCTGTACATTAACAGGTTTGGAGAAGTGGGGTCGGCGTTGGATTTCACATTTACCCCAGCGTGTGTTACGGTCAAAGGGAAGCGTTATCGATCGATTAAAACAGCCGTGTGTTGGTGGGCGTTCGTGTGGCCACCCATACTGCTTGCATAAATATCTTCGATTGGCCCGATATTGCCGGCCATTTGTCAAATTGCTGCATTGGAATTCGCCAGCGACGCCGACAAATGGCGGTAAAGATTAATTTTTATATTTACACTCGTTTCATTTACTCCGTCGCCGAAATTGATTTCACGTTCGTTCGCCCCTATTTTTCCCGCGCCTGCCTCTCTTTTACGATAAATACCCGTTTTCTCGTGAATCAGTAAACTGTCACCGGAAATACCGCCGTACTTCTCTCTGTGTACGTGTGAAACATTCCCGCGGAATTGTTCCGAAATTACTCTCGATACGTTTTGCTTCTCAATTTTCCCAAATTTCCAGATATAACTTCATCTTCGGTGTTCTCCAAAATGGCCGCCGCCTTGTAACCGTACACGAGCAAACGGGCAGCCAGAATTTCGAATGCTACACCGCGCTACAGTTACTCGTGACACTCGAGATGTTTTTCACGTTTCTATCGAAGTAAGATTACTTACGTCGCGTCTTCGCGTAACTTTGCTTCGACTCAGAAGTCTTCTAAATTCAATTTACGATCAAGGCCGTCCATTATAATTGCTACTGTTATTCAAGATTCGGCGCAGATTAGACTGTGATATTACTCAAATCTTAATAGTGGAGCTCGGAGGTCTATAATTGCCAGTATTTGCTCGCGGGCGCGAAGGGAGGGCCGGTATTAGTTAGAAAGGGCGGAGAGAGTGCTTGTAAACGTTCGTCGGTTTACACTGAACCACTTGGTGCTCGACTAGCATCAAGGCACGACGGTATTATCGCGAACTTAATGAATAGACCGCCGACTCCACGGACAGGCGCACGACGATAACGAACCTGATAATGATAAACGATTCGCCCACCCCTTTAACCACCCCCTCTCATCTCCTGTCTCTCTCTCTCTCTCACTTTCTCTGTTTAACCATGAAGTCGAGGCAAGGATGGAAAGGCCTGCGTCCTCAAGGCGATCTGCAGAGCGGCGATGAGAAGTCGAACGGAGATTGGCAAGCGTCCATTCATGGAGGAGATCATGCACGCCGTGTTCAAGTGAGTGATTTATTCAAGGTGATGTTTAGGTACCCTTAGGTTGGCTAACAAGGGATCGTCCTGAGGTGATAATGCTCCGAATTTGATGAAATTTTGAGACGTGGTGGATCACGGAAAAATATTTGACACGTATTTTTTTTATTATTGGCAATTGTTCACATCGAAGCGGTGAAAATCGCTGCGAAAGTTCAATTGCTAATTGCTTATTTTATAGAAGGAACTGCGGTAGAAAATGGATAAGAAAGTAGCAAATTTATTAGTCGAATGAAATGTATCGATTTTTTCTCACTTTACAGCAATATTGAAAAATTCAGAAAAATCATTTTGTAGCTTGAACTGACGAATTCTTGTGAAAAAAATTAAGTTATTATTTAAATTATATAAATCCAAGTTTACAATATGTTAAGAGTGCTGGGTGTAAATTTTGAGTAAAAAAATTTTGTTTAAATCTCTTTACCATCGCAATGTATGACATCAAAGGCCGCAGAACTTTGAATTTAATTTTTTGTCCGTAACTTGTACGAAATCGTCAATATTCACTTACAATTATTTCGAAGGGGTGCTTTTACCCCTACAATAGTTTCATTGCCGAGAGAAATAAATGGTTTCGTTGTTCTAATTTCAAATTTTTGTCGACACCGAACTTTGCAATTCTAATTGATCTGTCATCTGTCCCGATCTATAATCATACCAGATCCTATTCTCAAGCACAGAAATAATTACAATAGTGTTTTTGTGAGCGTGTCCCTTGCTGGTGAAGGCTTTCATTGATATGAAATTGGAAACGTTTTTTCAATCAGCCGTCGATCGAGATGGAAAATTATATGAAACGGGAGAAGCGGGGAGGGATGATTGACGTGAAGATTGATTAAGGGAAAATTGAATAGCAAGGAGATGACGAACCAAATGGAAAACGCTGATTAATCAAATGTTCATCGACGTACGAGGGGTGAAAGTGAACGGTGAGAAGGTGACGATCAAAGTGGTCCGTGCCTCTGAATGGTTAAACGATGATTAGCAAAAAAGATTGATTAAGGAGATCGTAAAATAGTGGGGGTTAAAGATGGGCTAAATGAAAAACGTTGATTAATCGAACGATTCGACATTGGAAAAAACATGAAAAAATAGTAAGAGTCAAAGAAAGAAAGAAGAAAACAAAAAAACGGGGGAGAGAAGGAAGCAGAGGATGAGTGATGCATCCGCCATCAAAGTGTCGTCCCGTCTATGTCTCTCAGGAAGTCGCTCGAAGCTGCCAGGCGAGGCGG